TGATCTGGTTGAAGAACTTTCTTTCGGAGTTGGGCTTGAAGCAGGGAGATTGCGTTCTATATTGAGACAACCAGAGTGCTATTCATCTCGCGAATAATCCGGTGTTTCACAGCAGAATGAAACACATCAAAATGCGGTATCATTTCATTCGAGAGTTGATTGAAGATGATACTATAAATTTGCAGAAGATTCTTGGTACGAAGAATCCAGCAGACATGCTAACCAAGGTGGTGACAACGTAGAAGTTGAAACTTTGCATGGCTTCAACTGGCCTTCCAGATACTTGATGAAAAGGCGTGAACGAGAGAGAGATCACGGGTTTTACAGAGGATACAAGTTCTTGGATGGCAAATGATTATTGAACAAGCCTCCAAGTGGGAGATTGTTGAGGATGGAGCCTTATTCTGAACGTTAGAACCGTTACTCAACCGGGTACGTTGGGCTACCCGACCGGGTATGATGTTGAAATTGGTCGGGCAACTCTCTGGATTGGAAACCCGATCGGGTAAGGAGAATTGCCCGACCGGGTATGATGTGAACTTGGCTGGGCAACTCACTGGATTGGAAACCTGACCGGGTAAGGAGGTTTACCCGACCGGGTCCGTGGAAGGTTTTGGCCTCTGTTTAGGTTACCCGCCCTGGTATCGACCCAGGCATGCCTTTTGAGGAGACACCCGACCGAGTACAAGAGGGGACCTGACCGGGTCTGCGGAGTATTTTTAATTACGGGCTTAATTTTGGGCCTGCGGCTCTAATCCTTGTTTAGGTTTTTCTTAAACCTATTTAAACACATCTTTGTACGTGTAATACCTCTTGACGCCGACATAATAATACACTGCTCTCTCTCGTTCGTCGTGGACTAGCACAATCTCCCCGATTGTGTGAACCACGTAAATTCGTGTGTTCTTGCTCTTTAATTTATCGTTTACTTAACCTAAATCGTAATAAAGGAGAGAGGAAAGATAGAAACGAGATCAATCGTCTACAAAATTACCAAAAATGTAGTTATATTTTTATTAATTACTTATTCTAACTCACTAATCTTGTCAAATACTCCGTATTTTAACAGATCGACTTTTCTCTTTACAATAAGTGATTTGTACGATAGTATTATCCTCTTATGCAAAATTGAATCACACAGTTTTTAATTTCTTATTTCGGATGTTTTTATTTAGACCGTAATTCATCCCAAACCAAAACAAACCATACCAGACTAAAACAGACCAAGCCAGACCAAATCATATTTTAAATTATTATTATTATTATTATTATTATCATCATCATCATCATCATCATCATCATCATCATCATCGTCGTCGTCGTCGTCATCGTCATCATCATCATCATTGTTATTACTATTAGTATTATTATTAGTATTTCTATTATTACTATTATTATTTTTAATTATAAATGAATAAAATATAATTATTTATGGATTATAATATATATAAAAAATAAAATCTTTATGCAAAATATATAAAAAATAAAATTTCAGACCAGACCAGACCAATTTTATTGTTATTATTATTATTATTATTATTATTATTATTATTATTATTATTATTATTATGATCATCATCATCATCATCATCGTCGTCGTCACCGTCGTGGTCATCATCATCATCATCATTGTTATTTTTATTATTATTAGTATTATTAGTATTATTACTATTATTACTATTATTATTTTTAATTATAAATGAATAAAATATAAATATTTATGGATTATAATATGTATATAAAATAAAATCTTTATGAAAAAATATAAAAAATAAAATTTCAGACCAGACAAGACCAGCAAATTACAATCCAAGTAAAAACATCCTTCATACTCCCCCTTTTGGCCTTTTATGTTTGTTAGACACACTTTCCTTTTTGGATGTTTCAAAATAAATGACACACTTCCTTATTTCCTTATTTGGTAAACAAATCTTACCAAAACAGTGCAAAACAGTGTCAAACAGTGTTCAAACAGTGTTCAAACCGTACCAAACAGTGTACACCACAGTAAAATTTACCTCTCAGTAAAATTTTTTCTATAATCCTTGACAAGTCAGATTATGTCAAACAAATAGAAACGGAGGTAGTACGTAGTATGTCGGTACAAATGTAATCATTTGGATTAAAGCTTTCTGGTTTGAACTAATTTGATATGTTAGCTTGTTCTGATTTATCTAAGTGTGATTTTGTTTGTTAAAACTCATATCGTCTCAATATGCCTTATATTATGTGTAGTTTAATTTAATCCATTTAAGATGGTCAGGTCAATCTAAATCTGGCATGCCCCGCAAATGAACTCAATGCAATTAAAAAAATCACAAAGTATTTTTTTATATGACGTCATTTCTCTTTTAATTGCAACATTGGATTTTTTGCACTATTTACAGATTCTACATTGACTATATTTTATTTATTGGTGTATTATAAATTATTACGGAGTAGTTTTTAAGATATTGTTAAATTCTTCTCATTCTAAATTTCAAAATCTAAGTTTTATTTAATTTTTACTAATAAGGAATGAAAGGTATTAATGGTCAAACTTGTGCATTGGAAAACGTGAAAAAGTGGACTGTTACAATTAAAAAAAGAATAAAAGAAGTACTACCTATTTATAACTTCATTTTTTTTATAATACAGGTGTCGGGCCTTACACTCCCATAATTCTGGAGTTTATGAACTACCTTCCAAAGCCCCTAGACAGTTAAATCTGGATCTGATCACAGTCAGTCTCGTCAGTACTGGCTCCAAAGGACGAATCCAGCAGGACTTACATCACCTTTCAGGCTGCTCCTCCCACCACACGAACCCGATACCTTCATTACCATCCTCTCTAGTGATGGACCCGGGTCGGTCCGGTTCCGGTTCCGGGCCGGGCCCGAGCGGGCTTTTTTTGCAATTACTTGGGCCCGGAACCGGTCCGAGTTGATACCGGGTCCGGGCCTAACCGGGCCGGGCCCGGTTCCATGTTTAATTTTTTTTGTCTTTCTTATTATCCCCCGACCCCCCCCCCCCCCCTCACCCATACCCCCCAAACCTCCCCAAAACACCCAGCCCTACCCTAGGAAAAGAGAAATAATTGAAAAAACTAAAAAAAATGAACCAAGCCCGGCACGAACCGCCCGGGCCGGTTCAACAAAAGTTGGGCCCAAGCCCAACCCGCCCGACTAGCCCAAACGGGCTAAAAGCCCGGAACTGGCCAACCGGTCCCGCTCCAGTTCGGGCCCGCACAGTAACGGGCCGGGCCGGTTTCGGGCCGGACCGGCCCGGTTTAGTCCATCCCTAATCCTCTTCCTTCTCAGCCGCTGAGCAACTCCGTGAAGATATGAAGAATCATTGGAAGCAAGACCTCCTTCATCTCTCCTTGGTGGGAATTGAACCCAAGACCTCCCACAAAGGAGAGACTTGGAGATGGATGGTCATCTGTTGGACTACACACATCCCACCTATTTATAATTTCATACGTTGTACAAACAAGAAAGCAAATGCACGTTACGATTGAGTGTGAATATAAAAATGACGTCGATGTTAAAAACTTATTTGTGGCCTGCAAAGAAAACATTTTCCACATTTATATGATACCTAGTGGCTAGACATTCTACGTACAAGTGATATTGAGGAGATCAAGGGTGGAAGGCCCACTGTTATTTCACTTATCGTATTGACGTCTTATCTGGCCATAGGTGGGAAATGATTTGATAGAAATGGTCTACATTTTGCTAGCTACTTGTGTTTGTATCATTCCCCAAAAGAATATAATCATCAGCTTGTGATATTTTGGGCATCTGGTTAAAAGGGCTACAAGTTAAGCCATGCATGTCCTCCTTGTATAGAAATGGTCATGGTACAATAGGTGGAATCTCCCACCCCAGGAGCCCCCAACTCGACCTGACAGAATGGTGGGGGAGTTAATCACGGTGACTCAATCAACAAAGCGGTGGTATACCTTATACACGTGCGCACCAGAGGTCCAGCCTTATTTCAGATTTTATAATCTCCACACAGCCGCTGCAGGTTTCGAATCTTGATCACTTAGTCCAATTTTCTTACCACTCGATCAACTGAACTACCCGTGCGGGTAAATGGTCTACATTTTAATTGCCTTAGAAATACTGTGATTTTTATCGAACTGCCTATATATACCAACAATTAGGAATGTGTACAAAAACATACAAATGGCATGTACAAACAGTTTTTCTACAAATAATGATATGTTTTTTTAGTCATACAAATAATGATATGTTTAATTCATCAATTATGATACTAATTATTCTAATTAATTTGTGGCCCTTGCCCACATCGCCTCACATCTAATTTGACTAAATCAATTGCCATAAGCATATAGTACTCTTATTTTGAAATTTCACATTAGTGCAATTTCTTTTTATTAATTAAATATATAGATATATGATTATTATTATTATTTTAGTATGATAGATTAAAATAAAAAATGAATATATGCAATTAATAAATACTCTGTATAATATTAACAATATACTATGTATTAAACTATTATTAAAATTATATCTATAATAACAAAATCACACTATTAAACTACATCAAAGTGATCAAACCCGAGCATACTAAACAAACTAATAAAAGAATTTTATCGATATGCATTTCAGGTAATTAAAGTAAATCTTCGCCTGTGTAACACTTAGTTTTGACTTTTGACCATACTCATTAAGACCAGACCCATAAATTTTGATCGAAATGCTTCTTTTTTAAAGCAGAAGCAGAATCAAAATCAGTTTTCAGAAGCTGGTCATCCCCAACTTCTAAAAAAACTGATTCTATGAGTAAATTAGAGCACCATAATCACTTCTGCACTTTCACCCAAACACTCCAACTTCTACTTCTACTCCCTGAAGGAGCAGAAACAATTTTAAGAATAAGATCCATAAACCCCCTCAATAAATGTTCAGCTAGATTATAATACCCCCGTCTCTCAAAACTTTGCTAAGTTTGACCGGCACGGGGATTAAGAAAGTAAAAATTGTGTGATTGATGTTTGTGAAGAGGAGAGAGAATTAACTGGAACCACAAATTGTTTACTTAAAAGGGAAAGTGACAAAGTCAGTGGGACATCCAAAAAAGAAAAGTTGGCAAAGTTTTAAGGGACGGAGGGAGTATTGGACTAGAGTACAAGTTAACATTCCATTGGCAAAGTTTTAAGGGACGGAGGGAGTATTGGACTAGAGTCCAAGTTAACACTCCATAAGTTTAGCCGTCAGCTCAGAGTGTAGCAACTCAGTAGCTTCCCTCACCTTCTTCCTGTCCCAAAAAGATGCCACCACAGCAGTCCATGTTCCTCTCCCAGGTGTGCACCCATCAATCACCATCTCCTCAATGATCCGCCCCATCTTGTGCAAATCTCCCTTCTTGCAAAAGCAAACTACAAGAGCTTCAAACGTCTTGTCCTCAACCGATATTCCTCTACTTCTCATGCTCAAGTACAACTGGAAAGCCCGTCTTGGATCATTCACACCATCAATAAGTCCTTGGACCACTGTATTATGGATCTTTACATGAAGGCTCCAAGTCACCCGATTTGGAGTGACACCACTAAGAACCATCTCATCAAGATAATTAGCCGCTTCCTGAAACTTGTTGATTTCACAAAACAAACTGATTATATTCCAGTACAATCCTGCATCAGGTTTTAATTCCTGAACCTTCATTCTATCAAACATCTCTAATGCTTCACGAAGTTTACCTTCTCTACAGAGTCCGTGGATTAATGTGCTGTAAGTTATCATATTTGGCATCTTGTGTTCACGGATCATAACCTCTAAGAGTTCCATGGATTTTAAAGAACGCCCATTCTTACAAAGGCCATCCATGAGGCATGTGTAAGTAAACACGTTAGGATCGACATGTTTTGTTCTCATAACTTCAAGCAATGTTAAAGCTTCATCCAAGTCACTGGTGAGACAGAGACCATGAATCAGAGTAGTGTATGTTATAACTGTGGGTAAACATCCTTTTGCTTCCATCTCTACAAAAAGCTCTTTTGCTTCAAGAATCCTCCCCAGTTTACAAAGCCCACTAATGATGGTTCCGTATGTGTATGAATCCGGACTGCATCCATGCTTAGACATCTCACGAAGTATATTAAAAGCGGAATCCATTGTTTTTTCATTCTTGCAAAGTGCTTTGATGAGAATGTTTAGTGATGCTGTGTTGGGAGGAATACCACTTTCCCTCATGTAGAGGTAAAACTTAAAAGCTGTTTTTAACCTGTTTTCATTCACAAGGATGGAGAAAACTGTAATGTAGGACTTCTGTGTAGGTTCACAATTGTAACACTTCATGGTTTGGAAAATTCTTACCACATCAAGTGGTTTGTGAACACGGCCGTATGCTCTGTACAAAGAGAGGAAGACATCCTCTGTGATCATACACTTCTCCTCCTTCATTCTAGTGAGCATATCCTCGGCTGACTTAAACCTGTTGGCAGAAAGTAGGCGTGAGACTACCATTCCAAAAGTGGTGTGGTCGTGCCTGAAGCCATTGGTATACTCTGCTGTTGCAGCATCGAATATCAGAAGGGCTTTATGAATGTCTTTTTCTGCTTTGATTAACTGCTGGACCAGGCATGTAGTGATTTCCTTAGGCCACTTGATCATTGTCTTGCTGCCCATTCCTTAGAAGAGGCATTTCATCGAACAACAGGGAGGTTGCATCTGTTTATTTCTAACCTATAACAATAATATTATTTCCTTACCGCCACTTGATCATTGGCTTACTATCCATTGACGCCCCCTGAATAAATAAAGTAGGAAGAGGCGTCAATATACATATTAAAAGGGAAATGTAGGAAAATACTTTGCTCACAAAGATAACCAAGTAATTTAATTGATAATTATTGGTGTAATTGAAGTAACCGTTTCTGGATAGATGTAATCATTTGGACAGAGCTAGACTATGGATACGGGGAGCACTCTGGAGACATGAATTAGTAAAACAGACTACAAATTTGACATGAGGACCACTGTGAGAAAAACTGAACCAGTAATATAACAATGTAGCAAAATATTGGGCCACAAACATTAAAATAATCAACAATTTAAAAGAAATTGCTGCACTTTGTTAACTACATAGAAGTGGAGTATAACAGTTCTATGCACGAATTAAGCAGTTTAAAAAGCGGTTAGGCATACTGCTGATCAATTCCTCAATAAATATACAGATTTCACTCAGCAGAGTACATACAGAATTCATATTCATCAATTGAAACAAGACAACTGTTGGAACTTGGAAGCATATTATTTTTCATCAGTTTTTTCCCGGGGTGGGAGAAACGGGTAGCAAAACGTTGTTTCACAAAGTGGTGAAATTGAGCAGCTCAATAACATTGAAGTGAGGATGTTTAGAGCATAGCATATACATGGCCAATTTATAGCAAAAAGATTGACAGAAATGCTGTGAACAGCATGGAATGCGTTCATCATGATGCTGAGGTAGTTTTAATAGAACCAAAATTGTAAACAAAAATGCACCCTGCAGAAGTATATGTATTTTAGTATTTAAAACATATCACCTATGAAGAGGCAACAATCATAGAGATAGATGCAACAATCAGAGAATCAAGTGTACATTCTGAAAAGAAAAACAAGATTTAATTGACCTTTATAAGTAAAACTGAAACTCAATGTAAATTATTTGATGTAAAGTACAAAAAAACAAGTGAATTTAAATAAGCACAAAATTGTAGCAGATAAATTTGTTAAGGATAGTGAAAATAAACTTATCTTTTCTTTAATAGCAAACCATCTCATAATCTAAATATATGATTGTAGAAAAATGTTACATTATTTTTTCTGATTAAATTGATGTACATATGTAGTCGGATAGACTAGGATAGATGCAGTTAGTTGTAGATAAGCTTTGTAGTTATCAAGATCCTATTTTTTAGGATTTGTACTAGCTAGTTGTTATCTGTACAAAGTGTATTTATACCCTGGCCATTTGGCTTATTCAATCAAGGAAGTTTTATTCCTAAAACTTACATGGTATCAGAGCAGGTCGTTTAAACACCACAATGGTGGAAACCGAGCACTCTGACTCTTCTCCCCACTCACAAACCCATAACCCTAACTCCCAAAATAGCTTCATGACAAACTACCAGACCTCAGTTCATTCATCTATGCTCATTACTGGACATAGATTGAATGGCACAAATTATCTGGAATGGTCACAGTCTGTCAAGCTGGCGATTGATGGAAGGGGCAAACTAGGGTACATAACTGGTGAAATAAAGGAGAAACAAGCTGGTGATGATGGCTACATTATCTGGAGGTCTGAAAATTCTTTGGTGACAACTTGGCTTCTCAGTTCAATGGATGCATCAATTGCCAAACCTCACATGTTCATGAAAACTGCGAAGGAGGTATGGGATCCAATTAAGGAAACTTACTCAGATCTTGAGAACTCTTCTCAGATTTTTGAATTAAAAACCAAGTTGTGGCAGTCCAAACAAGGAAATAGAGATGTCATCTCTTACAATAATGAGATGGTATCCCTATGGGCTATGGCAAGAGTTGGATCAATGCTATGATGATGAGAAGTGGGAGAGTGCCAAGGATCTAGCAAGATACAAAAAAAGAGAGGAAAATGATAGGGTCTATATGTTCCTAGCAGGAATTAATAGAGACCTAGATGAAGTTAAGGGAAGAATACGATGACAACGACATCCAAGCCTTAGTCCCAAAAGATATTGGGGTCAGCTAACATGAATCGATACATGAATATTTCGATTCATGTCATGCGATGTGACTAGGTGATACTGTTGGCCGTCACACGCCTACCACAGCATCCTCCTCCTTTATCCTGGCTTGGGACAGGCATGATACCAAAAAAATGATATCATGGCAGAGTTGAAGTTAAGGGAAGAATACTTGGAAAAAAAACCTCTACCCTCCTACATCAGGGAGGTATTTTCTGAAATCGGGCTGGAAAACTCAAGACAACAAGAAGAAAGTTATGTACATCACTCCAGTACATGATGAGGGATCTGGAGACTCTTCAACAATGGTGGCTAGGAGTGATGACAAGAAAAAAACCCTGGTGTGATCACTGCAAGAAAGTTATGGCACACTAGGGAGACTTGTTGGAAAATTCATGGCAAACCACCAGGAGCAGCAGGAAAGAAAAAAAGTGAGAAGGCCCTACAAACAACTGTGATTGAGACTCAACAAGAACCACAAGTCAAGTTCAATCAGCCTTCATTCACTCAGGAGCAGATAGAGCAACTTCTTACCCTCCTACATTCCCAGAAAACCCAAAATTCACAGAAAGAATCCAAACCAGAATCTTCCTTTTGTTCTTATGCCCAAAATGGTACCTATTTATCATTTTTTTGTTCTGGGAAATCTAAAAATTCTTGGGTTATTGACTCGGGGGCTACTGACCACATGACCTCTATTTCAAATCTTTTTTCTTCATATAAACCTAGTGCAGGAGATAAAAAGGTTAAGGTTGCAGATGGTTCTTTATCAGCCATTGCAGGGATGGGAAATATTAGTATTTCCTCATCTCTGAATCTATCCAAAGTCCTTCATATCCCTAATCTATCCTGCAATCTTGCTTCAGTTAGTCAAATAACTAAAGATCTACATTGTTGTGTTATTTTTTATCCTTCTTATTGCATTTTTCAGGACCTGGCATCGGGGAAGATGATTGGCAGTGCTAAGGAGGAGGATGGACTCTATATCTTTGATGGAGAAACTCAATCAAATAAAAGAGGTCCAAAAAATGCTTGTTTGGAAACTGTTTCTTTTTCAAATAATAAAGATTTATATTTACTTCATTATAGACTAGGACACCCTAGCTTCTATTATTTAAAAAGGATGTTTCCTCAATTATTTCTGAATAAAGATGCTTCTTTGTTTAATTGTGATATGTGTGCACTTGCAAAACATCACAGAAACACTTATCTACCCCAAAGTTTTAAACCTACTAGTCCTTTTACCTTGGTACATAGTGACATTTGGGGTTCATCTAGAATACCAACTTTAAAGGGAAAGAGATGGTTTGTAACTATTATTGATGATCATACACGAGTCACATGGGTATTTTTAATCAAAGAAAAATCTGAAGTTGAGAAAATATTTAGGGAATTCTATGCTATGGTCCAAACTCAATTCAATACTAAAATTAAAATGGTAAGAAGTGACAATGGCCGTGAATATTTTTCTCAAACTTTGAACAATTTTTTTACTCAAAAAGGCATTATCCATCAAAGCTCATGTGTCAATACACTTATACACCAGCTCAAAATGGAATTGCAAAAAGGAAAAATAGGCATTTGCTTGATGTCACTCGTGCAATCATGTTTTCAACAAACATACCAAAATATTTGTGGGGAGAGGTTGTGTTACATGCTACGTACTTAATTAATCACATGTCATCCAAAACATTAGGATTTAAAAGTCCTATCAGTTCACTACAACACTTCTTTCCTACAAATAGATTGGTAAACACCCTTCCTTTAAAAAATTTTGGTTGCACAGTGTTTATACAAAATCCTTATAGATCTGCCAGTAAGTTAGATCCTAGAGGAAAAAAATGTGTTTTTCTAGGTGTTTCTGCCACTAAAAAAAGGTATAAATGTTTTAATCCTACAACCAAAACAATGGTTGTTACAATGATACCTTTTTGTGGAAGAACAGGCTTTTTTTGATTCTCATCTTGAGGGAGAGAAATTAAGTGAAGAAATTCCAATAGTGCCACATATTCATGAAAACCTTAATTTTCTTGATATTAATCTGGATGATCATACGTTTAGAAATAACAGTACATCTGAAAATGATCAAGAAATGAAAAATAATGAAGTAAATACAATTGAACCAATTGAAAGGATCAACAGACAAGTCAGTTCTTAGACAAAGTTTATGAGAGAAGGGTTAGAAATCAAAGAATTGAGGAAGTCCAAGAACCTACAATTGTCCATGATTCTGACTCAATACCAGGAAGTGAAAAGGGTAATACTCCTAGCAACCTTGACCTTCTAATTGCTCTCAGAAAAGAGAGAAGAACATGTGTTAAATACTCCATCTCAAACTATGTTTCTTATTCTAAATTAACCCCAGCTTTTGCAACCTTTACTTCCAATATTTCTACTATTTCTATTCCCTCAACCATACAAGATGCTCTGTCTAAACCTGAGTGGAAGAAAGCTGTTTTGGAGGATCAGACATGGAAGCTTGTAGAGTTACCTAAAAACAAACCTACAGTTGGTTGCAGGTGGATTTTCACTCCCAAGTTTAAGGCAGATGGAAGTTTGGAGAGGTATAAGGCAAGACTAGTTGCCAAGGGTTACACACAGACCTATGGAATTGACTACACAGAAACCTTTGCACCAGTTGCAAAGTTAAACACTGTAAGAATTCTTTTATATCTTGCTGCCAATTTAGACTGGACATTACAACAATTGGATGTGAAGAATGCCTTTTAAATGGGAAACTTGAAGAAGAAGTGTACATGGAACCTCCTCCTGGGTTTAAAAATAAGTTTGGGTCAAAAGTTTGCAGATTAGAGAAGGCTTTGTATGGACTTAAACAGACTCCAAGAGCCTGGTTTGACAGGTTCACAAAGTTCATAAAGAAGCAAGGATTTAATCAAGCTCAAGCTGACCATACTTTTTTCATGAAGTTTTCAGGTAAGGGGAGATTGCAATCTTAATTGTCTATGTAGATGTTATTATCCTCACAGGAAATTATCACACAGAGACTAAAAGGTAGAGACTAAAAGGTTGAAAGACAAACTTGCTCATGAATTTGAGATCAAAGACCTAGGAAATTTTAAAAAAAAATCTAGGAATGGAGATAGCTAGATCAAAGAAGTGTATTGTTGTCTCACAAAGAAAATATATCCTAGATCTTCTACAGGAAACTGGAATGAGTGCCTGCAAACCAGCAGACACTCCAATTGACCCAAGTCAGAAATTGGGAGATATCAACGAGGGAATTCCGGTTGATATTTACCAATATCAAAGATTGGTGGGAAAATTAATATATTTGGCAAACACAAGGCCAGATATTGTATTTGCAGTAAGTATGGTGACTCAGTTTATGCATCATCCTCTCCAAGAACATCTGGATGCTACTTACAGGATTCTGAGATACCTGAAGAGCTGTCCAGGGAAGGGATTATTTTTCAAAAAGGGAGACAGTAGGACAATTGAAGCCTTCACTGATGCAGATTATGCTGGCTCAATATCTGATAGGAGATCTACTTCTGGATATTGTACCTATGTATGGGGAAATCTAGTAACCTGGAGAAGTAAGAAACAAAATGTGGTTGCTAGAAGTAGTGCAGAATCAGAATTTAGAGCTATGGCTAATGGAAATGTGAATTACTCTGGATCAAAAGAGTAACCACAGAACTGAAGATGGAGATTGAGCTGCCTATGAAGTTGTATTGTGATAATAAAGCTGCTATAAGCATTGCTCATAACCCTGTGCTACATGATAGAACTAAGCATATTGAAGTGGACAGACATTTCATTAAGGAGAAGATTGAAGCTGAAATCATTTGTACACCATTTGTATCCACTAAAGATCAAACCGCTGATATCTTCACCAAAGGGTTATTTAGACCTGTATTTGAGCTACTTGTGAGCAAGTTGGGAATGTATGATATATATTCACCAACTTGAAGGGGAGTGGAGAAAAATGTTACATTATTTTTCTGATTAAATTGATGTACATATGTAGTCAAATAGACTAGGATAGATGCAGTTAGTTGTAGATAAGTTTTGTAGTTATCAAGATCCTATTTTTTAGGATCTGTACTAGCTAGTTGTTATCTGTACAAAGTGTATTTATACCATGGTCGTTTGGCTTATTCAATCAAGGAAGTTTTATTCCTAAAACTTACAATGATGTTTACATCGAAAGTTGGACATCTATAATCTATTAAGATAAGAGATGGTATAAATACATTAACATACAGATTATAGATTTAAAAAAATGACAATATATAAACTATTGGTACTAAAAACACTGCAACCTAGTGAACTAAGAGTTTTCTATTTGAACTACAAATCGAATTTTCTTTACTCATAATCAAATTAAAAGTAGAACTCATCCATATCTTTGTCTTTATATATATAAGAATGGGATCATATGGCATCAACTATTCCCGCCCTGAATATACTACGTATATGTTTACCACGTCTTATGCACGTATACCACTTACTGCTGAATTTGTGGAAGTTAGTTTACCACCACTGAATAACGTTCTCATCTTTTGCAATATATATCAATATAACTGGAAAAAATGAGTAGACTGTTTTGCAGGCGTTGCCACTTCAATAAACAGACACTTTCTCGCCTTTTGGGAAATACGGAGTAGATGTGAAACTTCTATGTTTTATTTATGGGTTTGTATGATATGCTCTGTAGTCACTGTTTACACACAAGAAAGACCTTAGAGAGGAGCAACCTGTCTCACAAGCCTACAAGATCGGCAAGCGTTTATGCAAGACAAATAGTTCTCCGGAGAGACGGAAAGAGGAAGATGCCAGGTTGGGATGAGGGAGCCGTATACTATAGCTACCAAGTGCAGTTTCCCATACGACGGTGGTTCCGGCAATCAGGCAACCGAAAGTCGTGATGTTATCTTGCATAAATTCAAGGAATTGATCAGGAACGTCCCTCACAAGAGCCAGCCCAATTTATTCCCTTATCGCGAAGCTCTTCTGGAAAACCCCAAGTCAGATAAATACGGAGTATAATTCTCTGACCTACTCTCCAATCAGCATCGAGAACTTCTTCGACGGAATCGTGCAGCAGCTGAAGTTCTAGCAAGTTTGAGATTAAGGGTAGCTGGAGAAACAGGAGAAATGGAAGAATCAGAGACCGGCAACTGCAAATATTGTTGAGATCTGAGCAAGATTCTATCTCAATTCGGGCCGTCGAGACACAATAAAATTCTAATTGTAGGTTACTATTACTAAGTATTTATTTTTGTTGCGGTCTCTAGGATGCAATGAAAGTTGTTTAAGTAGGATCACATTATCACAAATTCATAATTAATTTCCACATATCAAGTAAGTAATTATCTTTGAAGTTTGGGTTCATCCGGTCATATCACTGTCCTGCGTGCATGGTGAAGGCTATTATGTCAAAAACTATTTGGGTATTCATTTCATACGTACAGCGCAAAGGTATGCAACTTTAGACTAAGATATCATACCATGAAGAGTAAATTTCCTTTGGAACTATATATGTTCAAATATATAATCAGATGTCTTGATAAACATTCATTAAAACTTTTAAGTGCAAACTAATAAGCTAAAGTCCTAAATTTCGTCCCTTAGGAATTCATTAGAAGTAATTTTGATACCATGTATTAAACCCAATTGATAGTCAATGCATTTATCAACCACATGACTTATTTATAACAAAAGTAAGATACTTGATTAACAAGACATATACAAATGAATGGCAAAGATACTATTGTGTATAGATATAGATATTTACATACATTGATGCTTTACAAATTAATTAAGATAAGGAAAAAATCATGCATAAATTCCTTAAAACAAAAAATAATTGATTAAAGACATGAATAAAAGGTTCACCTTTGAGATATACATACATTTATTATACGCCCTTAACCAAGCAATCTCATTCAAGTTGTGTACGATAGTATTTATTGGAGAAAATAATTTAAATATATCAAACTTTGAAGGGGTGTGAGACAAGTACTTCAAACTTCCATAAGTGATATACATACCCCAAATTTTATATAAATAGGTCATATTAGTATCATGATCGTATAACTTTCACAAATTTAAGCACCTCAAACTTGCCATGATCATATACCATAAATTATGTATACTTTCACTTTTATTTAAACTATATACTTAACATTCTAATGTCCATATTTAAATAAATAAAAAACATAAACATAAATACAGTTTTGGCCAGTATTTAAAAAGGTTTACTTAACATTCTAATGTCCATATTTAAAAAGGTTTACTTAATGGCCAGTAGATAAAACGTAGCAGTTTATACGTACAAAAAATCTTATGGTTATGATTGGTAATAAAAAAATTGGTCAGGTTTAGCTTTAATGTACGCATAGCTACCATAAATCACAAACAACTTATGTTTATGTATAATACAGTATTCTAGATACTCCATTGTATTCGTCTTGGTATATTTCTGTACTCAAGATTTGTTCAAAGGAAAAAGAGGAAATAGGAGGCAAACAAAACTCAGTTTAAGTAAAAAAGGAGAGCACAAAATAACAACCGGACATTTCATGATTTTGATGCATGATTCTCAGCTTAAAATAATATAATGGAGTGTCTGAATATTACCACATAAGCATTTCATTCAACATGCATAATAAAAATATAATCTGAATGTATGATAGATTTACCTAAAAATAATTTTTTTTGAGAGGTTGGTGGTTTGGTGCTGAGTCTGTGAACATCTTCTTTGACTTTCATTGCCATCTGTTCGGCGACGATTTGTCTATTAAGATACTCCGTATTATACAATTGGGTTATTAGTGATGAAACAAAACAAAATCAGAATCCGAATCAGATGAAAGATTGAAAATAGAACTTAAATTAACTAACCTCATATAAATGCTTCTCCAATGAGGAAACTAAAAGGTTCGTTGTTGTCGATGGGAAGAACGGATTTAGTTTTTGAAATCGGAACAGAACAATTACGGCAGCCAGGTCATTAGCCAGGACACTATAAAGGGGTGGGCCGGATGTGAACTATTTTTTAAAATAAAAATCTAGTAACAATGTTAAATCCAAGTGCGTTAGAAAATTTATAACAATTAAATACCATGTATAATGCATTAAACTAAAAAGTAAGCTGCCCTTGCAGGTCTTTTACTTTAGCAAATTCATCTATAAGGGAGTTAATATCTATAGTACTAACAGACTCATTTGAGCTCCCAGTTTGTACATTTCTCGTGGGTCTAAAGAAAAATGGAATGTTGTACATTTCTATTAAATCAAAGTGTAATATTTTAATAATACGTAATAACCATTAAGATAAAATGAGAGTTATTTAGAAATTTAATATTTCAATTTCTAATTTGGGCAGAGAGCATTAGATAAAATGTTTAGAAACTAACCTAACAATTGACATTTACATTCAGTAATCATCCATTACATTGACTGATTGACACCAACAATTAACAACTTAAAATCTTATACTACATAAATACTGTGATTTAATAACAAATAATAATACTCGAAGAATATAGACACACTCGAACAGACTTTGCAAAACGGCCAAAGCATTTATTAATTTACAGTTTTACACATTGGAATTTGGAAAACACATACCAAGAAATGATAATTAGTATCAGATATTCTGAATCGTAAAACACATATCAGGAACACAAATCATGAAACAATTAGAATTTAGAAAAGCATTTTATAAATTAAAAATAAAACCTTAGAGAAATTTGGGGATTGCAGATTGCTGCTGGCTTCCTGCCGGCCACGGCGTGGGCGCGTGGCACAGTGGCGGCGTCCCGTTTCTCTCTGTGTGGGTTTCCCGACTGGTCAAGCGTCGGCCGTCGAGCTTAACGGCGTGCGAGGCTGCCAAACTGCGAGCGACACAGCGTGTAAAGACTAAAACTGCTCCGTTTTTCTTTACAAAATTTCGAAATACATAAATGTACATACTACTCGGTAATAACGATCGTTTTACAAAATAAAATTAAGAAATTTCATGTCTCCTCCCGAATTAATAATTCTTCTATTTTTCGGATCTTGAATTTATAAAATTTCTAAAATTAAATTACAGGAGATGACATCGTTGGCATAAAAAAATATTCCTTCCTTCCTAAATAAACTTTCAATTTTTCTTTTTCATCCGTTCCAATTAAAACTTCCATTTTCTCATTTTGGTAAAGAATTTGTGGTTCACAACATTTTTTACGCATTTCTCTCTCCTCTGCATAATTCTTCAACACACAATACCCACTATCTTAAACTGTGTGCTCAACCCATTTGGAAGTTTTAATAGGAACGGAGGGAGTACTATACTTCGTTCCCAAATCCAATTAATGGTAACATTGGGTTGGGCACAAGAATTAAGAACAATGTCAAAAGTAAGGACCTTTTTACTAACAGAGATATTTTCCAGATTTTTAGAAAACTGGAAAACTGGAAAAAAGGAAAACAGAAAACGTGTTTATCAAAGAAAATTACTGGAAAACTGAAAGAAAGAAAATAGAAAACTGTGTTTACCAGATCGTTTTCAAAAACGAAAAAAATGAGATATGTCTCTCTTTTCCTTAATTAATTGGAGAAGTGACTTTTACTAGTTTTCCAATTTTGGAAAACGCGGATGCTGCAGAATCATTGCAATGAATTTGCATACTTACACCTAGTGGTGCATCCGCTCCCGCTCCGGTGTCAGTTCTAGTTCGGTCAACGACCCTACGGTCCCTATCTGGTTCGATCAACGACCCGGTGGTCTGATTCGGTCATTGACTCAGTGGTCCCTGTCTGGTCCGGTTGACGACCGAGCAATACCGGTCTGGTCCGGTTGACAACCCGACAGTTCCGGTCCAATCTGGTCGACGACCCGACGGTCTTTGTCCGGTCCAATCCATGACCCCACGATCCCTGTCCAGCCCGGTCCATGACCCAACTGTCCGGTCCGATCCACAATCCAACGGTCCTTGTCTGGTCCGATTGATGACCCGATGGTCCCTGTCCAGCCCGATCCACGATCAAACGGTACCTGTTCACTCCGTCGACTAGCGGATAGTTCCTGTCTGATCCAGTACGGTCAACGACTCGGTGGTCCTCATCTGGTTCGGTCAACGACTCAGCGGTCCCTACCTGGTCCGGTCATCGACTCGACGGTCCCTGTCCGGTCCGATCGACGGCCGCGCAATCCCAGTCTATTCCTATCCACGACCTAACAGTCCCCTGTTCAGTCCGGTCCACGACCCCATGACCCCTGTCTGGTCCGGTCCATGACCCGACGAGTCCCTATCTTGTCTGAATGATGACCCAACGGTCACTGCCCTGTCCAATCGATGACCCGACGGTCCTTATCCGGTCCGATCCACGATGACTAAGCGATCCCAGGCCAACCCGGTCAACGAATCGGTGATCCCTGTCTGGGCCGGTCAATGACTTGACGGTTCAATCTCGGTTATTTGAAATTACTTTTTAAAGGGAAGAGTTTTAAAAGAACTGTTGATTTGTCAACCAATAGGGAAATGAGAAAAGAATTCGTCAAACTAACTTTTGAGACCAACCAGGCCCGGCCGGTTTTGATCCCGACTTTCCTATACGTGGGACCTGGTACCCTACTTGGGTTGTACTAGGTTTGATTCTGAAATGGTACCGTACTTTCAGTCTTCTGGAACCGGGTGAAAAAAGTTGATGAACATGTTTTCAAATTTGAAAATGAAAAACTAAAAAATGAAAATAGAAAATTGGAGATAGAAAAATTGGGAAATGAAAACAGAAAATTGAAGAACGGAAAACAGAAATAGAAAACTGAAAAATATCTCTGTTAGTAAACAAGCCTTAACATTCCCAAAAAAAATTCAAACCCGTGAACCAAACGTGGACATCTCACATTCCGGGCATCAGATTCATGCCTGCATAGATGATTACCCTGAACCAAACGTACCCTTAAGATTTCATTTCTAGAAAGCCTACATAGTCTAAGTTAAAGGAATGATGAATTTGTTTTAACGCTAAGCCCCCACCCTACACAATAAGTTAAAGAAAGTTTATATGCACAAGTCAAAACTGAATTCCTAAGAAGAATGTTAATTATATTAAAAAAATGATTTTTTTTTTACATCTGCTTCAAATACTGGTATCATTGCGCTATATCATTTAGGGTGTTCAGCAACTCTAGCAATGTGTTGATGAAAACATGTAATTGATTTCCATTTGTATATGAGGGGGCTATAAGAGGCTAATCACACCATATCAGAAACATAGACTTTTATAATAGTAATAGACTAGACAACATGAGCTCGTGAATTCTTAGTAATGTGCATCATATATAAGACACTTCGTAGATTATATCCTTAAAGATTGCAAAATCACTTGAAAGCAATGAAGAATTTAAGCAAGCAATTTGTTGATCCCAGCCTTCTGCTCTGCGGTCAACCTTGCAGGAAATTGGATGGTAAACTTTATCCTCAAGTTCCCTCGCTTTGACGGATCTTTAGGTATTGGCATCCCTTCATTTGGAACCACTTCTTCATAATTCGGGTGTATGATAGTGTTTACAGGTACTGTCAAGTTTCTTCCATCAAGTGTCGTCAAATGGACTGTATAACCTGTTAATGCCTCAACAAGTGGCACTCTCTCTACCACAACAAGATCATTCCCTTCTCTTGTGAATCTACTGTGTGGTTTCTCATCAATTATGAAGACAAGGTCTGCGGGGATCACATTTGGCTCTTCGTTACCTTTTCCTGGGAATGTGATTTTTGTTCCCTTCTTCCAACCAGGTTTGATGGTTATGGTTAATATCTCTTCTACCTGCATGTTCGACCTGCACATGATAGAGGACAGCAAGTCTTTCAGTAATTGATTTCAGAGAATAATTGTTTGGTACTTTCATCTTCTTAAATAAACTAAACTTCGGTTCTACAGATATTACGTCACTCCGAGTCTTGGTGTCAGTCTTTCTTTCTTTTCTCCTGATTTGGTTAATTTAGTTAACTATCTCACTCTTTCAAGGTTGACCAAAACACTATATATGAATATAGCTCATCAGATATAATGGTATTAGTAGAAATTGAGTCTTCATACTAAGCTACCCTCAATACTTGTCCCTGAGATTCTTTGCTAGAGACACTTTTAACATTTTGCATTAAATATGGGTTCTTTTAACATTAATATATTCTACAATATGGGTTCTGTGGAAAATACAAAATGTTTTAGAGTTTTCTTAGTAATATTCAGAAACCTTGGGGCTATATTCTTATCTTCTTTCAGTTTCTTTTGCGGAAAATCTAACAGGATAATGGACCTTTATTTTTGAAAGCCTCGAGGGTCATTTTGTAGTTTGACCAAACCCAGAGAAGTAAATATACTTCATCCTTGTGTTTTGACCAAACCCAGAGAAGTAAATATACTTCATCCTTCTGTTTTTGGTGCACATCTATGAATCATTTACACTTTTTGTCATTCTCATCGCTTACCCACCAATTTTTAGTTGCTTTTTCCTGGAAGAGTGACCTAAAAGGACTAAAATGGTATGAAGTCCATAGAAGTGCTCCAAAAGTGTGAAAAAATGAAAGGCCGGGACCAAAAGCAGAAATGACCCAATAGTTGTGAGACCTAAAATGAAGAATTATTTAAAATCAACTCACCCACTTGTATCAGCAATCTCCCTTGAGATTTTCATCTTCTTGGTGGTTCCCTTGTAGAGCTCTTCCAAGCTACAAGGCAATTTCCTTTCAATCGGCAATGCTTTCCGTGGGCCCGCCGAACTCACTGACCGGCTCTCCCCGAATGAACTAAACATATCATCCCCAAATAGTGAAGTAGGGAATCTTGAAGTGCCTCCTCGCATCCCACTCCCACCTCCACCCATCCCACCAAATGGACTTCCACCGCCAAAAAATTCAGCAAAAATATCATTTGGATTTCTGGGGTTGAATCTAAACATATTTGGCCCATCCCCTGAATGGAAGAATGTGGTTCCACCACGTCCCCCAGCTTCTTGTGGTGGTGGTACTTGACCTTTAAGTCCTTCTTCACCATATTGATCATACACTGCCCTCTTCTGTGGGTCACTTAAAACCTGCCGGAATGTATAGTCATCATATCTATGATAGCTGATGATATAACACACAAACACAAATGACATCTTAACTGCACACAATGTGCCAAAAGGATCCTCTGCCCATGATAGGACAAACCTTCCCCTTGCATATGCAAAGGAGCTTGTGTCAAGAAGGCAAGGATTGTGTCCAGACACAAGATTTCTTTCCTGGTAGTTAGGAAAATGTTTTGATCTTATGCATTAGGAAAACTTGAGATCCAATTACAATTTTGAGCAATCCAATTCATAAACAGAATATCCTCAAAACCTAGATATATTTTCCACTTTCTTTGTTTCTGTTTTCTTGATCAACTTGTAGACACATAAACCTAGATGCCACCTTCAATTAAATATCATCATTCTGAAGATATAATATATATACAGGGCACTTTCAAGGCACAGAAGAAATTATACATGATGTTTTGCTTCTTTATTAGCTATTCAATTAATTTCATCAAAGACATACCCCAACCAGACATAATATTTATTGCAAAATGATAATGTCAAGAAAATCTAAAAACCAATTGAAAGTCTAATCCAAAATTAATATTGCACATATTTTTGTTTTATATTGCTTCTTTGTTGAAATATATTTCAAATCAATCTTGTAATCGTATCAACCGTGCTGTCTTCGATCCACTGACGATTCTAGAAATAATTCAAATGGATAGATCTGTGACAAGTATAATTGCAATAAAATCCTTTATCTGAAAGAATTACATATGATAAGGAAGATGGGTCTATAAAAGAGGTTAGCATACATCATAAGCTTCAGAGATCTGTTTGAATTTAGCCTCGGCATCTTTCTTGTTGCTGGGGTTCTTGTCAGGGTGCCACTTCATAGCCAATTTCCTATAAGCTCTTTTCAGCTCTTCATCTTTTGCATTCTTATCCACTTGCAATATCTTGTAGTAATCGACCC